GTTATAATATGTACATTGTATACGAACTAATTATATTTGTCTATTTATTGAGATACCAAACACTGAAGTCTTCGGATTGTAATGAGTTATTTTATTACTTATTATGTTTTCTTATTACTACATTTACCTACTGTAGTCATTTTATGGTTTCATAATAATAGTATACATTTATTTTCATTAGTTCAGCTTTATGTTACCTATTGAAAAACAAATAAACAAACAAACTATTAAATATCCAATTTGGATTAATTTTGACAAAAATATTAGATTTGATTTATTTCTTCATTTTCAATAATCTATTATTACAAGGTACACCACATACATAGGATCTTTTTGTTTGTTTTATTTTACTTATAATATTATACTTTAATGAATGTGATCATGATAACATTTTTAAACAATGTTAATAATTTAATTAATATTCTGAATATTTAATTTAAAACATGAATTTATATCCATAGAAAATCTATAATATATAGCATATTTTTTACAACAATCTCTTAAATTAAATTGTATTTAATTTATTAGACATTAGCCATTTTCGTATACATAATATGTTATCACAAAATATAATTATCTATTTTTTTTTTTTTACAAATTATAAAATAAAATTTTGTTTTAATCTTTATATAAAATTGTTTAGTAAAATTAATGTTTTTAAATATATGTGTATTAAGTAATAATAAATATAAAGTTATACAATAAATATATTTTATCAAAGAATAAGAAAAAAAATGATACGAGACTTATATAAACAGGGAGGAATTATGAAGTTATAGGATATTTTTCAGTGTGAATAAATTGTAGTAAATATATATTTAATGATTTTAAACATTATTGCAATCAGAATGATTAAAAATTGAAAAAAAATACATAATATGAACTACCAATAGTAAAAATCCGATAATCAGTTTTTAAGAAAACGAAAAAAATATAAGATAGTAGGTAATCATTTGTATAATAATTTGTTATTTCTATCGTTTGAGACACTTTTTAATTTATATGAGTTTTCATCATAACCTTATTGTTTTTAACTATCACTATTTATTCTAATATATTATATCATATCATAATATTCGATATTAGTATAATAAGTATAATACATATAAAAAGATCGCTTTAAAAACTGAACAGGTAGCGTTTTGGGTGTATCTTGTTTCATCACTCAATTTTCTCCGTACAGCATTTGTGATATAGAAATTATGGTTACAACTTGTTTCGTGGTATACATAGTGCCGAATTTAGAACAGGTGCTGCCCTAGGTCCTTTTAAATATACCACCTCAACCCCAAGAAAAAAAAATGTAGTATTTATTTCTCAAATTCATGGATTTACTTCTATGTTCTTTAAATATGTAAATTAAATATTATATAATATTAAATTACGCAGTTATCTAAATACATAAAATATTTATATGATTTTTTTCCATTTCTTACAAAATTTGCCACCCTCAAAAATTTTCCACCTTAGACCCGGGTCTCACAGACCTATGCGTAAATCCAGCCTTAAGTATACACATTTAATTTAAAAAAAAAAAAAAAAAAAATACTGGATGGTAAATAAATATTTAAAAAGTCAACTAGTGACAAAAATATACAAAAATATCCACTTCAATATTCAGTATTATATTATATACCTACACAAATTTCATCAACATATATTTGCATTTAGTGTAGTTTCCTTAATATTGTAAAATTAAATAATATCTTACTGTAATATATTTGAAAAAAAAAACATTATTACTACTTAAAAGAACATTTCAAAGTACATTGGCTTAATATCAAATATAACTGCTGTTTTCAAGTCATAAACATTTCATCATAATGTTGTATTTCCACGACATTTATTTTTTAAATGAGTTAAAACAATATTATATAAAAGGACCACAATAGATTTAAGAATTAACCCATTAAATTAAAATCATTGTAAGGAAAGCTTAGAATATAATTTTTAGTCGCTTACTTTTTAATAATATAACTATACTAGTTAAAAATTATTTAACATTTAGCTACATGCCTTGTTTTTGTACAATTTAATGAGTATATGCGGTCTTTTTTAATTAAATTTTACTCGCATTGTTAATTTAATATCCACTCAAACACGAGCGCAAGCATGTATGTCTTGTGTAGAACATGGTATCGTCATAGTTGTACGTAAAACCATTTAACATCATACAATGTACCGAAGAAAATACGATGAAACATTTTAGTTGTCCTTGCAGTCAATCGCGTGCGAATGGACGAGTGTCGCCGCACACAGTCCTACCGTAGACCCAAAACACGTCGTATACATACGTATTATACGACTACGAAAAGACAATTGAAATCGATAGAGTATTTTTCCTGGTACTCTTATGTTTATTTATTTATGTTGTTATTTTTTTCATCGTTGTTGTTGCTATAATCTATACGTGTCGATGGTAGGCGGGGCAAAGGACTATTATATTATTTCCCTTTGTATATTATATTTTGCAAGGACCGCGGCGTGCTGGAATACACGTTTGATCGTCCTTTGAAGTGAAAATTTATATTTCTGTCGCAATATAGTGTCCGTAGTGACTTAGTATTAGTATACGTACACCAAGTTAGTGGCGGTAGTGGCCGTGGTTGTGTCGACTAAAAGGGAAAAATGCGAACCAACGTTTTGGTATACTCTTGGAGAATTTAAGTCAGAAGTTTTAAAGGGACCACAGACGTAATTTATTACTCTTCGGTTAACTGTGAACTTCTTGTCCCGACCGCCTGACTATCTAAATATAGATCGATTGATCGACCGCTTATCCATCGTTCTCAAATCTTTACACTCTCTCTTTCTATCACACACACACATACATACAACTAAATTCATGTTCGTGGAATACAGATTTGCGTATATATATATATATATATATAAATAAAAATGAATAATTTTCGGGAGGGGCGGAGGCACCGGTCCACTAGATAAAGTATAGGATTTTCAGCGGGTGCCGCCACCGCTGCCGACGAATTCGAAACTCACGAATAAATCACCATGACATTCTCATACGGTCGGTTAAGAGGTGCTGGGTCGAGGGACACGCGTTGTCCCTAATGAAATAAGTTTTCTCCCGTCGTCTCGTTAAATGAACCGGTGGTGAAATAACTCGAGCGCTTAAAATAATTCGTCAACGTACTTACTGATCCCGTCCACACTAACACTCTAACTGAACACCACCGAGATGTTTGTAAAACCACTCTATTATCACTCGTATGCGCCGCAGTAGTTTCTTAAATCGTTACTAGATTAACCAAATAACCCATGTATTTGCACTCACTCTCATGTAATGATAATCACTCATCGACGCATTGAAAAACCTCCCGAGACGCTAATGTAATAAGATATGAGGTTAGTTTTTAACATTATATATGTCACGCGACCTGTTAACCAAATTAAAATCTTTATCATATCGCAGCACCTCTACTGGGAGCCTATACAGTTTATGTTGCAACTGTCATTTTGCTTAATTTTTTTAATCCATAATTTGTTCTTATACTTTTATTATTTTGTAACGGATTGGATAAAAACTTTTAAAAGCAAAAAAAGATTTCGTTGTGAGAATAGTTACGTAACGATAAAAATCAAAACATATTACAACTATATACTCGTTATTTGAAATACAACATTTGCTGACAGAATGAATGATCTTTACTCAAGGTATTAGTTACGTTCTTTTAACTAAACTTACAGTTGAGGGGGATCATAGACTAATTCTAATCTGTGATCTGTGTGCGTATCATCACCCGTATTTATAAGATTTCGTTTAGCTATATGGTAAAAAAGAGATGATGATAAAAATATTATATAATTGAAAACAAAATTATACATAGATATATCAAAATATTTTAAAGTCTAAGACAAAAAAATCTGTATATTTATTTTGATTTGACTGTGAAAACAAACATTATTTATATTATCATTATCGGATTTTACATAATGATAGACCTTATTATATTAAAAAAAAAAAAAAAACATAAAAATATCAAATTTAACTGTAATAATTGTCTTAAATTTTATAATTTTTGTTGTTAAACTTTAAAACCTGTTTCCTAGTTGTTTTGTCTTCAAAACTAAATGATTTTTGAAAAAAGTACTTTGTTTTTTTTTTTTTTTTTTAAAGCTCTGGTAATGGAATTTTTCTTAATAACCATCAGTTATTAAACATTTTTATTCAATATTTTTACCACAGTCAGTTTATTTATATTAGTTTATCATTTGTTTTTAGATTTTATTTTTGGATATTGGTAACATTTTTAATATATAAATATCATATTATATACATAGCTAAAATTAGTTCCATACACTGATACACTAGTATCAAGTGTATATGATATAATTTTTTATTTTATATGTACGTTTCCTAAGACTGTTTAGCAGTTCGTCATTTGGTCAGTCTGATTAACACTGTTCATATAACTATTTTACTTCATAAATTCCCAATGGTTTCTTTTATGTCCAGGCAAATTACATTGTTTAATTATGTTTGGTTATACTTTTGTTATAATAATTATTCCTTCACTTACTTATGTTAACGGAATTTTACGTCTCCGTGTGTGTTCTTTTATTAAGTTTAATGTCAGTCACAACCTATGGATTTTCTTTTTGATTCTTTCTTATAGATTTTAGTTCCAGTTAAATGGTTTTTGCTCGAATAAAGTAAAATAATGTCACTTTAATAGTCGTTATGTATGTACAACAAAAAAACTTTATCCAGTTAATTTTTCATTTATCTTATGTATTTTTTATAGTTATTATGAAAAAGCTACTTACGATAATTTTTTTTTTTTTTTATAAATGTTTTTATTAAATACATTATTATAATATGAAGGAAGTTCATAAAATAATTATTTTATAATGAGTATGAAATTTTAACCTAACATAGATCTAATCATTAATTAAACACTATATAGCTTAAATAACTAAATCCCACAACAGTTAATCTTACATATTATATTTTTAATAAATGCATATATTTTTTTTTACAGATACAAGTACACAACGCAATACGTATTACTCATAAAGGTATGTATTAGTTCTTTATAAGTGTATTATACTTATAATACAAAATGGATTAGGTATACTTTACATCAGTCAATCAAAATAGTAGAAATTGTTAAAATGGACACAAAACCATTAAATACTCAAATATCAAAAATAAAGTCATGTTTAATTAATTGATATTCTTTCTTATAAAATATGTCTAAAGCGACAAAATATGACAATCTTATAATTACTTTTATTTGGAGGGTTAGATTGAAATAAATACTGTTATACCTAGTTGTAATTCCATGATATTAAAAAGTTGATTATATTACTGATATAGCAGTGTTGTCCGTTAATACTCAGTGTATAAAACAATAATATAGAATATAGAATTAAAATTAAAAAAAAAAAAAAACTACAAACCGCAACAACCTTCTTTGACCATATATTTTTTTCGTCATTGTAGTGGACAATTTAGCTAATATAGTATTTATATATTATGATGAACGGTAACTACGGTTTCATTTCAAGCACATAATCATATGGTTGATTCTACGCTGAATTATATGATATTATATGTTATCGGTTCGTTTTTCGTCCGTGTTAGTTTAAGACGACAGTCGATGATGGATCTTGGTCTGTATAATATCATATATTCATATGATATTATACAGTTAATGCTGTGAAAAGATTGTTTTGATAAGACATTTCAACAGTTATAATAATCTTATATTCTAAACATTTATACAGTTGCACGCAATAGGCACTCCATAAAATGTATAACACAATAAGTGCTAACATATATATGTAATAATATTTGACGTTTACACAAAAAAAAAACGAAAAACAGATAAAAATAAATTGACTATCGATGACTATCGTTTTAGGATTTGAGGTTTTTGTTTTGGGGAAGCCCAAGATTTTTATAAAATTTCTGGGGATCGAATATATTCTTGTATACGTCATTTTGATTTTGTAAATGTGGTCATTGGTCACACTATTGGTATGATTGCTAATACAATGTTTTTAAAAATATTTTATTAACGACAGTTTAATCACGTACACGTTAGAAAACATCGGTATAATGATGTATAAAATACACGTAAATTGATTTAATGAACAAAAAAACGTATTAACCAGCTGACAAAGCTAAGGAAAAATCAATTTTTTTTATAATTGTGTTGATCTCTAACGGTAGAAAAGGTTATTCATGTTTATTTAACTCTGATTTGTATAAGATATAAGAAGTGGTCTTGGTCAAAAATAATTAAAGACCGAATACTTGACATTTATTCATAAAAAAAGTCTATATTTATATATACACACTTAATGGGCATACACTTATGAATATTTCAAATAAAATCGATTTTAATATAAATATTTTTTTTCTAATAATGTGAATCTGAACTTATAACGTGAAGGTATTTATTCATTTTATTTGTTTTTTGGTTTTAAGGATTTTGCGAGTAGTCGCCCTCGCCCCAAAAAGCCCCTTTAGTCACCCCGAGTGCACATTGTATCGCTGATCCAGTTAGTGTTTAGTATAATGTCCCGATAGTTTCTGTTGTGACGACCGACGATCGATCAACATCCGCATAATATTATAATATTATATATATATACATACTGCATTTTAGTGGCTTGTTTGAATATATTTGCAATGAATTTTAACAATAATGATAATCTTTTGTATATTTTACCTTTTAGCATTTTAAGTCTCTGCACCAGCGCGTCGCTTATAACGATTTCCGGAAAAAATATCTTAGCATTTATTTTTTAGCAAGAGCATTTTGATGATTATTTTATAACGTGGTTAGGGTTACGGACTATAGACGAGCCATCATCGAAAACTGTGTAGAACTAGATGCATTGTGCACATCAGAGTCCCAATAGTCATTATCGTAAAATAAAAAAAGAATCGGTGTTATTTGATTTAATGACTTATGATAAAACAATCATTTGAATTTTTATGTCGCACTAATAGAGGTTTTTTTTTTTTAATAATAATACTGTTTATCACATACAAATAATATCAAATATTAGTATAATATACGATTTTTATATGCATAGAAATGTATCCAAAGTAAGTTGGTTTCTTCAAAAAGCGTCTCAGAATAATATTTATTAAAGGATTAATAATTATACAACACATCAAAGATACGCATTTAACTGTATACATATATGCATGATTAAACCGAGTACATTTCAGCATCGTGTTAGGAAATAACTCGGTGCCGTGGGTTATTTCTTACGTATGCATTATTATTACGCGTTATCGTTTCGAAGTCTAGAAAACGCACATAACTTTGGCGTTTGATGTTTAATCGACCGCCTGACTGTAAAATGATGCAAAAGAACCTTAACGCATATATTTAAATCCCGTACGTATAAATACAATATGAGACTATTTTCTAAATTAAAATATTACTTATACAACCACAGATATATATTATATATATATATGTGTGTGTGTGTGTATATATACATTTTAGTAATTTAAACTTTGATGTTAATGCAATAACATAATAATAAATAATATATTTATTACCATCGTTAAGTTCAATCGGTAAAAATATTTATTTTTTTTAATTTCTTAATTTTTAATGTCTGAGTAAAATAATATCTGTAAAAAAACCTACATAACATGATAACTTTCGGTTTTTACATTCAATTATTTTAAAAATAAAAATATCCATGACAAGGAAAAAAGCACTATAATATTCATAAATAATTATTAAACTCATTTTAACTTTTACTAGTTAGTATAACTAAATATACTTTTACCAATTTATTGTTTGATGAATTTCTATTTTTCTTTTTTAATATTATTTATTTATAATTTTCTTTTAATTTTTAAAAATATGGGAATTTTCAACCCTTTAAATTACTAATTAGATCTAATTCTCTAATAAAAACCACCTTTGGAAGAATGAAGCGTTTTCAAGACTTCTAAAAATGACTATAAAGATAAGTTAAAAAATCTTTAACTTCATTGTATAATCTGAAAATTCAATTAATCTAAACTATAAATCAATATCAAGTTATACACTTTAATAGTTTGTATGATTCTCTATATCAAATATTAAAATAAATATAACAATAAATACAATTATACAAATTGTCATGTACGAACTTATTAACCACTACAATGTTGAAGAATAATCGTCTGGACAATTGCTGTCAAATAAAAGTTTATACCTACACAATATATATATATATATATATTATATATACAATATTTTACATATAGTGTACTTTACACAGTCATATTATAACATGATTTAGTGCGCCGATAAAAGTAATTCTTATTTAATATTACTTATGTAATAATAAATAAGACGTCTGAATCAACAAGAATAAATATAATGATATTCAATGATCCTTAAATAATACTGATCTGTAAATTGAAAAAAAACAGTATGATTTCTGTTTTATCCGCACATTATTCACAAGTGACACAAAACATAGTATGTGATTGGAAACACAACACGTAAGAATATTTTAAATATACACTTTCTTATTTGATGTTCGAATTTAATATCATACTTTTGACGTTATCGTATCGTTTAATGATCAACAATTAACTATAATGACAACAATAAGTGCGATTTTTTATTGTGATTTATACTAGTTGCAAAAATGTCAGTCTTAAAAGTTCCTTGTGCGATACAGCCCCGATATTTCCAACCCTCGGTTATCGGTCAATATATTATTATATTATTGTTACCATGATTTTATCGAAACTTTTTAGATTGTCAGTTAAATACAGCTTTTCGTATTTATGTCCAATGCGCACTCATAAAATTTAAAATATTACTCACTATTACTTTTTATTTTGTTTTTTTCTCTAGTAAAAATATCCAACGCCTCTATTGTTTCTATTGTTTTATTTAATATTTGCTACAAAAGCTTGGGATGCGATGAAAATGAGTCGAGAATTTCTCAGACATTTTAATTTAGTGAAATCTATAGATACCACTGCAGTGATGTCGTGTTAGACTGAGATATGAACAATCAACCATTATGGGGATTTCGTGTAAGAATGTGTCGAGCTACAAAAAAAAAAAGCGTTGGTGCTAAAAATCACAACCATATTTTCGAGAAACCACAAGGTATCCACTATATGTAAAAAAAAACACGAGTTGACAATTGATTACCTAATAGTGTAAGTCTACATTATGTTAATATAGTAGAATGCATTGTGTAAAATGTCTGGAGGGATCAGAGTTCAAACGTATACCTAACCCCGAAGGAACTCGTAGAATGTCGAAAGCAATAATTGATTTGTACCAACCGACGCACCGGATTGCCGGAATCAGAGCGAGACGGCCGTAGGGACTTTCATTATCATGTGTTCGCTCTTTAGTGGCAATAATAATATAATATATTAACAAAAACTTTGCCATGACTTGTACAGGTTTATAAATACCATCTAATTTATCAAAATCTTATTTTGAAAATACTTTTTTTTTACTATTATAATAAAAATAAAACTTTTTCTAATTTTTCTCACACACGAAGACGAACGTTAAACCAAATAATAAAACTATATGTAAATACATATATACAGTAAACGTAGTATTCAAAAATAATAAAACTTAGCAAACGCCCATTTGTTTTATCTTCTTAGACGTTTTAGAGTCTACTTCGAAAATTTTATCCTTGTCACAAAATGCATTTTGAATTAAATAAAAATCTAATTTTTAAAACTTCTTATTTAAATTTACTTTATAGCCACAATGTTTTACGATTCGTTAATTTTATTACTTAAAATCGATTAAACACATTAAAGTTAAAACTGATATAATATTTTATACTAGAATCATAAACATTACAAATTTTCAATTACAGGTAAGTATTATTAAAACATTTAATTTAAAATTACAATAGTGTTTTTGTCATAAATATGAACATTATATTATGTTGCAAGGTACCTACGTGAATAGGTAACTGCATTAACGTCTACTAATCTATAATTTTCAATTAAAATCGCAGATCATGAGTATATAATATGGGTATAGTCAATTTTCACCAAATTG